GCAGGCAGGGCAACCTTTTGTTTTGCTACAAGTAAGGTCACTGTTCTGGTTACCTAGTGCCACTCTGATCTCCTTCATTGGGTGGCTCTAATCCCTAAGTTCCTGAGTGGTGACCTCACCCCCTTGGCCTGGCAGGCCTCATTCCTCTCCCTCTTGGGCATGGTAGCCCTGCCCCCTCTCTTGGGCAATGGCTGTAACTCCATCCCACTGGCCCACGTGAACAAGCAGCCCCACACTCCAGAACCAAGTTGGTGAAGGTCTGGCTCTTTGAAACCTAGGGGGCTATGGTGGTTCCACCCCCAGAGGCCATGGTCCTATCCAGTGAGGCTGAGGCAGCTCTGTTTCCCATTTCCTTGGTCTCTCCGCTTCTGCCAATTAATGCCGAAGGCAACCCACTCCACTGAAAATCTTTCTGCCCCACAAGCACTCAGCTTTCTTGCTCTGTGGGCCAGCCAACCTGCTACTCCACTTCATGCCAGTCTCTTCTACCAATTACTGCCCGAAGGCAACCCACTCCACCAGGAAACCACCTACCCAATGGCATCCAGCTTTCTCCTCTGTGGGCTGGTAAGCTTGTTGCTGTTTAATGCCAGTCTCTGGGCTCTGCTACTGCCATCTCTCATGCTGGTCTCTCATGCTGGTCATTCTGCTGGTATCTCTCTGCCAGTCTCTTGGCTCTGCTGCTGCCATATCTCATGCCACATGGTGGGTTCTCTGCCAGGGTCTCGGGTCAAGGACGCATTCCACTCCTGTTTTCACATTTTAGGTATCTGTCAGAGCGGCAACCCACTCTCTTGGTACTATATTCTGTTCTGGTTCCCTAGTGCCACTCTGACAGGAATATACCACAACTGTGAAGGCCTTAACAAACAGGAGTTTATTCTCTTACAGTTTGGAGACTTGAACTCCAAGTTCAAAGTGCCAGGCTCTAGGGGCTGGGTGAAAGCCCCTCGACCTTGGGCTTCAGCTCTGCCTTCTGCTCCCAGCCCACTGATGGTAGAGGCTTTTCTTCACTCAGACAGCTGCTGGCTGCTACGACTGACAAGCCCAAGGTTGACAAGTAAAAAGGCCCAGTCCCAATATTATCAAATCACATGGCAGACCATTAATTCAAGTTCATTGAAAGTCCAAAGGTTGACAGAGCATGGAAGGCTGCTGAATGACACAGCTACATGCAGGGTTCAAGCATGCCATAAGCTAGAGACCATTCCCAAAGCTCTTTCTTATATACGGGAAGCAGACCACATCCCTAAAGCAGCTACTCACAGTAGATCTCACCATGGAGTTGATTGCCAGTTTCATCATGGGGAATACTATATCAGCTGCCCAGCCACTCAACCAGACCCAGCTAAGTTGACACACAAACTTAACCACCACAGTCACCATGAGTCAAACTGACTCAATGGCAACTAACAACAAGGAACCTAATGACTAAGGGAAGTTCAGACAAGAGAAAGAAAGCATAGCATCCCAAAGTCTTAAAGTCCTTCCTGTATGTTAGGCAAGATCACTTCTGGGCTTTCAGCATCATTTAGTATAGGCCAGAGCAATCGATCTACAGTCACCTACCCAGAAAATCAGGAGAAGCTGTACAAACTAGAAACATCAAATAAATATTCATGATGTGACAACTGTCAATGAATTCAGTCCAATTCAAACAGTTGTCCCAATTTCTAGAGTCAAATACTATTAAAACCTATTCCTACGGATGTTTTCCAGATTCTGACATAAATATGTTGATACTTTTGGGAGCATAGTGCCTAAGGCACTTGACTGCTAACCAGAAGGCTGGTGGTTCAAACCCACCAGCCACTCCTCGGAAGGAAGGTTGGGCAATTTTCTTTTTGTAGTGATACTGCGTCAGAAACCCAAGGAGGGGTTGTTATGAGTCAGGTCCGACTTGACAGCACGTAACAACAAATACTTTTGGATGACTTGCATGCCTCCTCTACTCTTTTTGCTTATCTCAATGCCTACAACAATTTAAAATTAGTCCGTCCCCCCCCCCCCAGTTATTGTTTTGCTTTTACCAGTGAAGCATTATTAATGGGTGGAAATGGCAGTCTATTAACCTTCATCCATGGCTGCCTCAGGCAAAAGAGAATTAGGTGGTATGGTTTCTTAAGGGCCTAAACATTACTATCAACTGGATTCTGATTCACAGCAACCCCACAGGACAGAATAGAACTGCCCCATAGGGTTTCCAAGGCTGTACACTGCTATGGAAGCAGATTGCCACATCCTTCCACTGAGTAGCACTGGTATGTTCCAATAGCCAACATGTTTGTAGGCAGCAGAGCGCTTTAATGGTGTACCACCAGGACTTCTTCTTATACAGGCTTGGAGTTTGAAAATTCCCAGAATTTCCCCACAAATGCTGATTCCAATAACCAGGATACAGATGTTTCCTAATTAATGCTAAACATTTTACTTAAGAAATTTGCCCGAGTTTTTCATTAAATTGGCACTGTAGCTTAGCAACCTACAGGCTCCTTCTGTGTTATTTAGTGATCAAAGCCATATGGCTCCAAACAGGATCAATTTCTTCAACTATGTTACAAAACAGCCTGTGTTATAATCCACACCTTACAGCCAGACATTTTAAGATGTAAGTTGTTCTTCATTTTGTCTTATTCGGTTCTTTTGTGAATAGATGTAACCCGTTGCCCCTTCACCTGACATTTCTCCTTCCCTTTCAAGTGGTCCCTATCTAGACCAAGGCTGGTTAGCTGTTTTACTGTTGCTATAAATGCATGCAAAAGGCACTTTGGTGATGCAATGGTTAAGTGCTTGGCTGCTAACTAAAAAGTCAGTGGTTTGAACTCACCAGCCACTCCACAGGAGAAAGATGTGGCAGTCTACTTCCATAAAGATTTACAGCCTTGGAAACCCTTTAAGGGCAGTCCTACTCTGTCCTATAGGGTTGCTTTAAGTCGGAATTGACAGGACAGCAATGGGTTTTTATCAACGCATGCTACTTTCATGGCACAAAATGTGGTTCAAAACCTTAAAATCATTTGCTCCGTCTCACTCAATAGCCACACTTTAAAAAGAATCCACATTTCCTTAAGGATCTGTTGCCCAAAACCATTCAATGCTATCAATTTCTGTATGGGTTAGGGTCATTCAGTTAATAGCAAGGCAGCCCAATCGAATGTTGAAATAACAAAACACTGGTGGGACATCAGGAGCTCTGGTGGAATAGTGGTTAAGGCATTGACAGCTAGCTGAAAGGGTGGAGGACTGAATCCATGAGCAGCTCCACAGGACAAAGATGAGGCAGTCTGGTTCCAAAAAGATTTATAGCCTTGGAAACCCTCTGGGGGCAGTTCTACTCTGTCCTATATGGTCACTATAGGTCAGAATAGACTTTATGGTAGTGGATTTAGTTTTTGTTTTTGTGGGATGTTAGGAAAATCAACTTGGAAAGAACAGGAATTAGGTCAGTCCTAGGGAGAAGAGCAGCAGCAATCTGGGCAACATCTTAAGTTTGTGGCCAAAGTATGATTCATATTCAACTGTGTCCTGTGCCCAAGAGGGAGAAAGCAGAAGATTGGATTAAGTCGAATCATATACAACTAGAAGTTCAAACAAAACCTCATGGAATGACATGCAAGCTCACCCAAACAGCCCAGGAAAAGGAGTTAGTATGTGTGTGTGTGTCTGTGTGTGTATGGTTTCTGTTTCTATTACAGACAAACACAAATATCATCTGATACAAATGTTTTTATAATTTTAACTTCATAAAGTTTATAAGCTATATCTATGTGATCATACTACATAGTTATAAAAACTGTATTTTTCAGTTAAGAAACTGAAAGATACCTTTTTATACGAGTAGACACAGAGATATCATCTCATTCTTTAAGGTGAGTACATAATAATCAAAGGAACTGATGATCCACAATTTAAGTAATCGATTTAACACTGACAGTCATTGTTGTTGTTGTTATTTGCCATCGAGTCAGCCCCAACTCATAGCGACCCCTCCTTGGGTTTCTGAGGCAGTATCACTATGGAAGTAGGAATGCCCAACCTTCCTTCCGAGGAGTGGCTGGTGGGTTTGAACCGCCAGCCTTCTGGTTAGCAGTCAAGTGCCTTAGGCACTATGCTATCAGAGCTTCTACTGACAGTAATATATTTCCAATTTTTATGGGAATATGAATAATTCTATAAAAATTGTGCTTGTGAATCTTATTTCTGCACTTGAGTTCTCCTAGAAGATAAATTCCTAGATGTATAATTGCTGCATAGAGTGATTAAATTTAAAATGATGACAAGGGATACGACACTGCCCTCCAGTATGGCTTTTCACTGTGCTAAGCACTTCAAAGCATACAGTCATTTAAAATTTAGCAAAAGATTTTGAGTTTAAAGGGAGCAACATAATTACATTTACATCTTAAAAAGACCACTGTAGAAGCAATTTCTGATCAGCTTTTAGATGACTGGGATTGTCCAGATCAAATGATTGTGTTTTGGGGCAGGGGGATGGGAATTGAAAGAATTGGATGAATTCCAGAAACAGACAGCAGATATATCCACAGGACTTGGTGACGAAAGAGGGGAGAATGAGCTGGAATTCTGAGATGACTCCAGCTCATGAACTTGCTGATGAAGAGCAAGATGTCCACTCTGTCGGAAGACTTTCCTGCATTCTTTACGCTCACATGCTCTCTCTCCAGTATGAGTTCTTCTGGGTAGGTTTAGGTGTCCAATCTGGCTGAAGGTTTTCCTACATTACTTATATTCATAAGGCTTCTCTCCAGAATGAATTCTCTGATGAATGGTAAGGGATTGACGATGGCTAAAGGCTTTGCCACACACACTGCATTCATAAGGTTTCTCTCCAGTATGGCATCTTTGATGACAAATGAGGGATGACTTTGTTCTGAATGCCTTCTCACATTCCCTACATTCATAAGGCCTTTGACCAGTATGAAGACTCTGATGCTGAGTGTGGGACGAGCTATCACTAAAAGCTTTTCCACAGTCAGTACATTTATATGGTTTCTCTCCAGTATGAACTCTCTGATGTTGAATAAGGTGGGTAGTCTGGCTGAAGGCTTTACCACATTCCTTACATCCGTAAGGTTTCTCTCCAGTATGAATTTTCTGATGAGTAGCAAGCTGTGAACTGATGCTAAAAGCTTTTCCACATTCCTTACATTCATAAGGTTTTTCACCAGTATGAATCCTCAAATGACTAGCAAGGTGTATACTCTGTCTAAAGGCTTTCCCACATTCCTTACATTTATATGGTTTCTCTCCAGAACGTACTCTTTGATGCTGAGTGAGTGACGCAAGATGGCTAAATGCTTTCCCACAAACATCACATTCATAAGGTTTCTCTCCTGTGTGAATTCTCTGATGGGCAGTAAGGGATGAACCATAGCTAAAGATTTTCCCACACATATTACATTTGCAGGGTTTCTCTCCAGTATGAATCCTTCTATGCTGAATAAGCCCAATGTGATCACTGAAGGCTTTTCCACAATCAATGCAAGCAAAGGGCTTCTCCCCAGTATGATAATACCTCCAGTGACGGATAAGGGATGTGTTCTGTCTGAAGGCTTTCCCACGTTCCTTACATTCGTAGGGCTTCTCTCCAGTATGAATTCTCTAATGCTGGGCAAGGTGTGCTGGCTGGCTGAAGGCTTTTCTACATTCTTTACATTTATATGGTTTTTCTCCAGTATGAATTCTTTGATGTTGGACAGGGTGAACGTTTTGGCCGAAGGCTTTTCTACAGTCCTTACATTCAAAGAGTTTTTCTCTGGTATGTGTTCTCTGATGTTGAGCAAGGTGTTGACTCTGATTGAAGGCTTTTCCACATTCCTTCCACTCATATGGTTTTTCCCCAGTGTGAATTCTCTGGTGAACAGTAAGGGAAGAGCTCTGGGTGAAGATTTTCTCACATTCATTACATTTAAAAAGTTTTTTTCCTGTATAGACTCTCTTGTGTTATTTTATTACCACTGAATTTTTGGTAAAGCTTTTCTTATCTGACTTGTGATTACGAAAACACTCTTCTATATTGTTCACATGGACCTATTTCCCAGATTTGTTATATGTGTGGTCTATTTCCTTAGTGAAGACTTCATTATCAATGTTTGTTTCTTGCCCGTTACGTGTTTCTTGACTTACCCACTGTCTCTCAAAAAACGCTTCAGATCTCCAATTTTCTCTGAAAGCGGGAACCTCAAAGCCAGTTTTTAATTCTTTCCCTTAACAATTCACCATATATGGCCTGCTTCAGAGAGAATTCTTGTGTTTCACAGATAGATTCCCAATCTGAAAGATAACAAAGAAGTAAATATTTCTTTTATTATGGACTATAACAAAGGAGAAATAGAAGATTTTAAAATATTTCATTAACCCCACAAAATGTATTAAATACAGGCATATAAACTCAAACCCACTGCCATCAAGTCAATTCCAATTCATAGTGACCCCCATTGGATTTCCAGGGCTGTTTATCTTTACAGAAGCAGACTACCCCATCCTTCTCCCACAGAGTGGGTGGTGGGTTTGAACCACTGACCCTTTGGTTAGTAGCCAAATGTCTTAACCACTATACCACGAGCCTTAAAAAATTGCAGAGATCCCAGTGGATGACAGCATATAAACAAACATGGGAAAGATGATTAAGACATTCTTTAAATGTAGGTAATCAAGTAAGTGTCAGGATAACATGGGGGAAGTTGTCTGCAATGGTAGAATTTATGCCTGTATTAACATAAAAGCTATAAATTAAGCTCTCTTCTTCTAGTCTCTTCAACTTCTAACTGATTTGCACATACAACTATTGAGATCCCCAGTGTCGATGAAGACCTTATGCTTTGTGAATTTCTTTGGGGTTTAGGTGATTCTAGCATTATTTTTTTCACAATCAGAAAATGGTGTTCCTATGACCCTCTATGTCTCATTCTGAGAGAATGCTCTACTTTTCCTACATCCCTGAAGCTCAGGTTGCATATTAAGGGTTTGCTCCATTTATCTCCTTGCTTTCACCAGCCTAGTAAAAGTATCACTTCTCAGGCCACTTTTTAGTGGGGTAAAACATGCCAAAGAGGCAAGGAGGTAGCATCTTCTGACTTCCTCTAACTACACAAGAGGAAAACAGAATCACCATCAGCAACCCAAGGCCTGCTCCTATGAGGCCAGACATGCTGCTACCTTCCAGCCCTCTTACTAACCTTGACACCAAATGTGCATCCTGCGGCACCCACTACCTCTCTGCTGGGTTCAATAATTTGCTGCAGTAGCCACACAGAACTCACAGATTATGGGGTTTATTAGAAAAGCAACAGGGTACAATTCAAGTTCAGGAATGTGCCATCAGCCAGCCATCTCCCAGCCAACAGCCTCTCTGTCTCTCTCAGAAGCACATGTCTCTCATATCTCTCTCCCAGTAGTGTGTCTCTCTCAGCAGCCCATCTTTCTCAGCTGGGAATCAGAAAGACTCATTCTGCCTCTAGGAGGGCTCCTTTTGAGGCTGGCAGAGTGGCCAAACTAACCAATCCCAACATCAGAATTCTATACACCTGAGAGAGAGCAAACTTTCCAGAAGATTGCTTTGTGTTGCTCCAGGTGGATGACTTTAACAAGCAGCTACTCAGTTACTGGGAGCCCTGGTGGCGTAGTGCCCAAGGCATTTGACTCCTAACCAGAAGGCTGGCAGTTCAAACCCACCAGCCACTCCTTGTAAGGAAGACTGGACAATCTACTTCTGTAGAGATAATGCCCTGGAAAGCCAAGGAAGGGTTTCTATAAGTTGAATTGACTTGATGGCAGTGAGTTTGGTTTTCCACTCAGTTATTCACGTCAAAGTGGGGATTACAAATACTATGGCTAGAAAAGCCTATCATATAAGTTACTACACCACAGACATTACCTTTTTTGAAGAAATTTTATAATGATATACAAGTTGGCATCAGCATTATTGTGTTCACTGCCATATGAGGTATTGTTCTTATCTCATAAGCTAGTGCACATAAGCTTTGGGGAAAGAACGTATGTGCCTTGAACATTGCTGCTGAGTCACTCAGCATACACATCAGAAACGAGGGCATATACAGAAGTTCTTAGTAAACACATAAAGAAGAAATGTGCATTGAAGAGGTGATGCTATGGGAAAACCTTAAGGAAAAGGTGATACTAAGAAATGAAAATGACAATGTTCTTTCTTCTTCTATCTTATCCTTAGCAGATGGTGTCTGTGATGTATTGAATTATATCTCCCCAAAATACATGCTATATAGATCCTTCCCCTTCTACCTCCGGATGTCATCCCATTTGGGAATGGGGTTCTCTTTGTCATGCAAATGAGGTGATAGTCAACTTATCCAGTGCCTCCTAAGCAGTTATCTACTACATTCAAATATTACTGAAATTAAATACAGAATTGTTCTGTACAAGTTTAGAAAGCAAGGAGAATAAGACTGGCAAAGAAAAGAATCTGAGAAGAAAACAATATGAAACATTATCAAGTGAGAGTCTGTGGTAGTTAAATTTGTATGTCAACTTGGCTGGCCTGGTTGAATGGTTGGGCGGCTGGTGGTAGTTATTCTCCAAGATGAGACTGGCAATCAACTCCATGGTGGGATCTACCACAAGCAGCTGAGTAGCTGCCTTTGGGATGTGGTCTGCTTCCTGTATTTAAGGAGAAGCCTCGGGGATAGTCTCTAGCTTGCAGCATGCTTGGACCCTGCAATGTAGCTGTGTCATTGTTCAGCAGCCTGTCATGCTCTGCTGACCTTGGGACTTACAATGGACTTGAATTAATGGCCTGCTATGTGGTTTGGTAACATTGGGACTGTGCCTTTTTACTTGTCAACCTTGGGTTTGTCAGCCTCAGCAGCCAGCAGCTGTCTGAGTGAAGAAATGTCTCTAGCTCCAGTGGGCCAAGAGCAGGAGGCAGAGCTAGACTCCAAGTGCCCCTAGAGCCTGGCACTTTGAACTTGGACTTAAAGTCTCTAAACTGTAAGAAAATAAGCTCCTGTTTTGAAGAAATGGGAAATGGGAAAAAACCATCCCATTTGTGGTATATTACTGTCAGAGTGGCACTAGGTAACCAGAACAGAGTAAAAAAAGAAATAAACCCAAACTCACTGCCATCGAGTCGGATCCGACTCATAGCAACCCCTCCTTGGGTTTCTGAGGAGGTATCATTACGGTAGTAGATTGCCCAACCTTCCTTTCAAGAAGTGGCTGTTCAATTTGAACCACCAGCCTTCCAGTTAGCAGCCAAATGCCTTAGGCACCGCACCACCAGAGCTCCCAGTGAGAGTCCAGGGTTAAAAAGTAAAACTGCGATAAATGTTCAGCTATTGGAGAGATCAACTTGACTACAGCAGGTAAGCAAGGCTTTTAAGTTGTGAACAAGCTTCCTATCCCAAGACTTCCTCTAGTTCCTTCTGGTCTCTCCAAGGCTGAGCAACTCAGTATCTTGGCATACCTGGAACTCATTTGAAGCATACCAGGATACCTCACAGAGTTTAGAAAACTCTGGGCTAGAGTACAGTGAAAAAGATAAAAAGTGATGGAATATGAATTTGGAGACATAAAAAGGAATAGACCATATGGGGCTTGGGCTTGTACGGTTTAGATTATTGCTTTTTGCAACAGGAAAACAGTCAAAGATTTTAAAGAAGTAAGGCATGTTATGATTTGCAAAAAGCTCCTAATACTGGCATTAAGAAAAGTTCTGAGAAACAGAGATGCTTATCTAAGCCTGCATGGCAGAGGGAAGAGGGGATGAAATGGAGCTGGCTTCAGATTTCTGGCAAGCAGAAGTCCTGTAGGGAGCCCATGGTGAATACTAACACTTTGGTTCCTTCCCAGGCCTGGGAAGTTTGAGAAAAATTTCTGTGAAGTAAGGAGGTTATTGCCTTTGAGCATGACTGAGACACCACCTCCACTGGATTCCCCTATCTGATTCTCCCATACTCACCTGAGAATAGGCCTCTTGTCATCTCACTCTTCACCTCCCAGGGCTCTGTCCCTTGCTCCAATAAGGAGAGCATATGTGGCTTAGAAATGCAAAATCCTGCACATAAAAAGTGACATGAAAGTTGGCCTTGTTTTAGAGATCTCTGGTAGCATAGTGCCTAAGGCACTTGACTACTAACCAGAAGGCTAGTGGTTCAAACCCACCAGCCACTCCTCAGAAGGAAGGCTGGGCAATCTACTTCTGTAGTGATACTGCCTCGGCAACACAAGGAGGGGTCGCTATGAGTCGGGTCCGACTCGACGGCACATAACAACAACAGTACTGTAAGTCATCCCTTTAATTCTGATGGAATGACACAGAAATGAGCAGACAAAGGGGTAAAGCACATGGGAAAGACATGCTACCTGAAACT